GAGAAAATGATTTCTATCTTGTATTCCAATTGTTATAAACGAGTCTTCCATTAGAATGATATATTGATGCAATCTCTAAGCTAAAAAATGAAATTTATTGCTAAAGTTTTATTGGTAATCAGAATACCATCTTATTGAATAAACTTAAAGAAAACCATTAGTTTGGAATGGTTTGAGTTTATAAGCTACTTTTTTCTCCTCATTAAGGAAAATAAGCAAACTTATAATGCCCCAGTAGTGTAAAAAATAAATCCTAAAATTCATCAAAATACAATTTTACATCAAAAGATAATCTGCCAGTAGAATTGGATAATATGTAAATGTGCATTTAGATACATTATTTGGTACAAGAAAAAAGAAAAGAAAAGCAAAAAAAATTCCAAAATTCTGAGTTCATCTTACATATTTGGAACTATTCCCATCCATGTTATGTCTATTAACATTGTAACAATTCCCTTGGCCTATCAGATTATCGAATCTTGCAAGTTAAGCCACCTAGTGTTTCATTTTATTTCCTATGTCGTCTTCTTTTCTTCGTTCTCCTTATTCTCGTCTTTTATTTTGTTTTTAACGTCTCTCTGTCTTTCAACTCGAGGCATCTAAAGATCCTCAATCTCAACCATTCGAGATATTTTGTGCGAGAAATCTTTTTCTAAATTTTGATTAGATACGTTAGTAGCCAACTCAGCTGCAAAGATAAAAGAAAAGTACACTATTTTTAGTTTCACAAGAAAAAAATAGTAGTATATATATTGCCATTAATAAGGGAAAGAAGATATTCTCTAACCTTGTTTTGTTAGGGCAAATCTGTGTCTCTCTGAGCGCAATATCTATACTCAGACTGTAGAAACAAAAACAAAAGCCATTAGGCTTTCATACATTTCACTTGTGCTGTAAATGTTTGAGTTGAAAAGTAATTCTGGCAATCCTCCAACTCTTTGCAAAAAAGCTAATAATTCACAATCCCATAAGAAAATAAAACAATGCCAAAGCAAGGTAGAATCTTAAATCACAAGATAATAAACTGAAGTTTAAGAAAACACAATCACTAATTTTTTATTAGGTATATTAATGATTGAACTCTTCTTACCTTCATTAAAAACTCTCTCATAGTATAAATTTCAAGAAAAAAATCCATTCCACGGTGTTTTGCCATATGGATGTTTTTGTTGATTTCAACTAACCTTCTTTTCAATTTTAAATAAAACATGTCCTATTGTTTTTTATATTCATTTTAAAAGTGTAGCTACCATCTTTAAAGTTAGTAAAAAAAAAAATTTGTCCGTGTCCGCACTGCACAGACATTGGTGTCAGCGGTATGCTGACACCAACCAGTTCCATGTGTCTGCACATCACAGACAACGTGCCCACGGTGTACGGACACCGGTCCATGGTGTCCGCAAATCACAGATACTATGTCGGCACATCGCAGACATCGTGCCTGCGGTGTGTAGACACCAGGACACCATGCTCGGGGTGTGTGGACAACAGTTCCACTGTGTCTGCACATTGCGAACACCGTGCCCGTGGTGTACGGACACAAGACACCGTGCTCGCAGTGTGTGGACCCTAGTTCCATGGTGTCCGCACATCACGGACACCGTGCCCGCTCCATCCCCTTTCTGCAAACGTAGTAAATCAGAATTATGCTAAATAAGAGAAAGTTTCTTACTCCTCCAAAGCTTTATCTTACATATATTGAATCTTCACCACTTACACAGGAAAATGTTCATATTGCATTTCCAACAACTAATTACCCAAAAGTCAATAGACCCAGAACCCTAATATAGTAGAACACTTATCAAATCAGCTAAAAATCAATATCCCCAAAAATTCAATGCAATATATTACTCAAAACTCAAAACGTATTCATTGAGCAAACATACATAATATATCAACGATTTTAAACGTCTTGTACACGGAAATATGAGAACTGAGTGAGAATTGAACCTTACTCGAGGAACTTCACGGCGCCACTGAGAGAGAAAAGTGATAGATAGAGAGTGAGAATTGAAAAGATTTGAGTAGAAGAATGAATTGGAAGATATTTCTTAGAAGAGATATGTAGAAGATATTTATATAATTTCAACTGGAATAGTCAACAAAGATGGCTACGTACTGTAGCAAAATTGGATTGGAAACATATAAGTATGAAAACTCTTGTGACAAAAATGAACAGTGAATAATATATTAACTCTTTTAATAGAGGAGTGAGATATCGGGAAAATGGCTACCCTTTATAAACACTGTGGTCAGTATTGAATATTGCTATTCATTAAGCCCATGTTTGGTGGGGAATCTTGATTTTAATTTTCACCAAACAAATTTATAGTTGATATTGATAATCCCATTTTTTTGTAATCTGATTTTATTTATTAAATATTTAATGCACTTTTGGTAATAATAATATATTTTATTTTTCAACGGAGAAAAGGAGTGCGTTAGCTGTTGAGTGTTGAGTACATGTGAAGAAAGGAACATTTTTTTCTAACTAATTATATTTCTGATTCTCAAATCACGCGTAATCTTATCTTTCTTTTTCTTTGTTCGTTTTTCCTCAAATTGATTGCTCAACGCTATAAAAAATTAGAATTTTACCATTTACTTTTTGACATTTCCAATCTCACTTTTTTTTTAAAAAAAGTTTATAGCACTTGGAATCTCTAATGAATCAGGCTTGTACGTGTCATTAGAATACTACTAGTTCAATCAATGAATGTTTACTATATGGTTAGACTTGAAAAGCTATTGTTACAAATACATCTTACGTTGTAAACGTAGGAATAAATGACCCGAGACATGTAGCAATGAAGGAACCCACCACATTCGTTCTCGACGCTCTCAAAGTGATTGGGTATAGTCATGAATTAATCGAGTTATCCTACAACTTTGATGTTAGAATTCGACTTCAATTGCATAACAATGAGTGGGTTGAGCACTACTTGAGCATCCTTACCTCATTATGAGTTTATTGGTAGTTTCAAATATTCGACAATTTGACATGTTACTGTAAAAAATATGATCCCAAAATACCTACAAAAGAGATATGGTGCGTCATGCTCGTTATCCTTTTTGCATTCTGTATAGATATCAGAGGTAAATGAAATTAAAACCTTAGTTAGATTTTGTAAATTTTCTCCACGCAAATAATATAACTTAATTCGAGTCAAATTAACCACCATACACCTTTAATAAAGGAAAAACATACATTGTAGGTGGTTTTAGAGAGGAAAATACTTTTGTGGAAACAATTTGACAACAAAATCTATAGACAATTGTGAATGTCAACATCTCAACATTAAAAAGAATGTAAAAATATTAATATCACAACATATAAATGAGCCACTAATTAAGGTGAAGACACTTGAACCCAATCTAATTGGCTCTTCAAAATCAAGATGAGCCTGGAAAATGGTATGCAAATTGCATTCTCGAGTTGCGTAACCTAAGGGATAGGATAGGATCAGTCAAAAATAGCTGCTATAATTATGGTACATTGTTTGTAGAATAAATACGATTTTGTTTGAAAAAAGCTGTAGGTACAGGTACAGGATTCTTGGCCATTAAATTAAAAAAAAAACAGAGTGCTGACGTGACAGTACCCTATTCGTCTATTTGTCTGTTTGTCTTTTTTTCTCTTTTGATGAAAACGTGCCATTTGTATTTTCTGTACATTTTTCATGTACTCATAGACTGGTTCATTTTGTTTGAACGATTTTTGAAATTATTTTTAAATTAAATTATTTATGTAGATTAGAAAAAAATCAAATCAAAATTAAATTATAATTTTTAAATCAAATCAAATTTGTTGCAATTTTATTTTATTTCAAATTACAATTTTAACAATATAATATTTGTTCACATGACGGTCAAGATAATATTATTTATCATTAACGATGATCACCATTAGTTTATGTGGTAGTATGCCTTCGATCATTTATTTAATGAAATTATAATGTATTTTGATACATTGAACAATAACCCAAACATCACCGATAATGAATAATATTATTTTAAACACTCTTGTGCGACGTAGCATTATTCATATTGAAATCATGCAATTTTTTTTGTACCTAAAATTTTTCTACTATAATAAATACAAGCATCTTTACCTATTCTACACACTACGCACTTGTTTGATCCCATTTTTTTCCTCATTATATATACAAATAAAAATAGTACCCCGCATCCCCACCTCACGATCCATCATTTCTTGCTAATAATCACTAATGATTAATCTTAGATACTATTGATTTACCAGTCTCGTAAAAGTACGTTTAAGGAGTATTTATAAATAACTTAACTTATAAAGAAATGGAGATCAATGATGAAAAAGTGATATACTTATGAATCTCTCGATATATATAAACAAAAAAATGACCTTAGCCCCGGTTTGTTTCAAAACTCTTTTTTCTATATACTTATTTTCAACATCACATCAGCACAATGAAATATTCTACACATAAATTCAAAAAAAATTAACTTTTTAACCACACATTTTCCAAAAATTCACTATTTAAAACGATGTTTTTTCCCAAAAAGATGATCACCAAACAAGGCTTAGTTTTCATAGACAATTTATAAACATGAGCAAAACATAGATTGAGCCCATATATTGATTTAGCTAAAAAATATTATTAAATTTTGATAAATTCAATAAAATAACTAAATATTTAATGAAACTGACAATTTTTCAATAATATACTTCACCAACTTATATGAAAATATACTGAAAATCTTATTTTTATATAAATCATGCAAGTAAATCTTGTTTACATTTCCACATTTCTTCACACTCTTATTGAAAAGCAAGGAAATAAAGGTATAGAAAATCTGGTGGGTCCAATCCCATTGTGAAAGCCGCAAAGGATGCCTTCAAAACCACCCCTCGACCCCTTCAATTCTAGCCCCCAAACTCCGTATCGATGCCATTGTCATTCTCTCAGAGACATTTTAACAAAAAATAAAACCTTCTGCTTTCTCTTACCAAGTTGCCAACGATGGCGAGATCACAACAGAGATACCGCGGCGTTCGCCAGAGGCACTGGGGCTCTTGGGTCTCCGAAATACGCCACCCTTTACTGTAAATTCTCTATTGCCAATTCCTGCTTATGGTGCTGCGGTTATTGTGTTTGATGCAATGCCTCAGTAGGTTGTAGGCTACTGTTCTTATGTGGGTTGATTTTTTATCTAAATCTCTCACACAAGTCATACTTCTGGTTGAACTACCTCGTCCGAGAGAGCTGATGCGAATTTATGTTAACTGTCCAATTATGTATGAACACGTGTCCTCCGTTTTTAAGTCTGTCTGTATAACATAATTGATTTTATAAACCCGAATAATGCTAGGTGGCAATGGCCCCTTTGATTCGTTGTCCAATGTTGCCTACTGCCACCTAAACTAGTAATCAAGATTGGTGATGCCATTATTCTAAAAACCGGTCCTCGCATTCAAGTCTAATTTATTTTCTATGAAAGATCTTACATATATTCTAATGTAAAAGTTAAAATGTGGCGACAATAATCCAACTTAATTATTTGGCCTATGCAGGAAGACAAGAATATGGCTCGGCTCATTTGAGACAGCGGAGGATGCAGCTAGAGCATATGACGAGGCTGCAAGGATCATGTGTGGGCCAAGAGCACGCACAAACTTTGCAGACAGCATGAATGAGCCTCAATCGTTGTCATCAAAATTTCTTTCTGCAACTCTAATGGCTAAGCTACAAAAATGCCACGTGAAATCTTTCAAAATGGCCAAGAAACCAGTTGTGAATAAGCTAAATGAAATAGAACAAACTCAATGTCCTCATGGTTCTGCATTTGCAGAAAAGGATGGTCGAATTGGGGTCGATTTTCCGATGGATTATGTGAATTGTGAAAGCCCAGCAGGGAGTAATGAGGAACAATTCAAGCCTTTGGAAGATGATCATATAGAGCAGATGATTGAGGAGTTGCTTGATTATGGCTCGTTTGAGCTGTGTGTTTGATCCACATTATTTTGGAAGAATGTATTCTGGAATAGTAGATTGACGGCGAATTTGTGGTTGAAAAAGAAGGAAAAGTTATTGATGTGATGGAAATATTATTTTATTGAAGAATGTGTAGTTGAAAATGAGTAGAAGAATGAGAATGAAAATTTTAATGTGTACCAAACAGGAATTATGGGAGATTGAACAATTTAGCACTGTACCATTTTTTTTCCTGTTTTTGATGCCTTATTTCGAGGAACACTGTAATTTTAGTTTCATGTGTAATATTACAATCAACATTGTGTATAAAATGTAACTTTTTTTTTTTAATTTCTTTACTATTATTCTACTTATAATCCAGCTTAATAAACATGCCACTGCGTTAGATACTCTTTTGTCAATGAGTTTATTTTACTATGAAAGGCCAAAATTTATGTATCTTTGAAAATATTGGATGAAATACCTTATCGGTAAGGTTGAATTGTTACCAAAAGTAATTGGTTTGGTTCGATGAACTATAAAAGAGTTGGCACGATAAATGTTATCACGTCTTTCTTCTTTAAAGTATGTAACCCTACTTGACAAGGGAAATCAATTGTTTAAATCTTCATCCTATTTTATCTCAAACATATTTTTTACGAAAGGTTATTTGTAAAGAAAAAAACAAGTGATTGTACATCTAATCAATTGTGTGGTTGGAACTAGTTATTCGTGTCTACTTCATGTGCGAAGTGAATATGGAATATGGCAGTGTGCCCTAGGTGGTCTATTTGGTCGACCAAACCAACATTGTCGGGGTCTAGCTTGGGCCAATTGTTACGTGTACTTGTTTATGTTAGCTAGTAACATAATTTATATTACACAAAAATAATGATATTCAGCACTATTGATGTCGAATACCAGTTTAAGTGACAATTATATGACATTAAATAATGGATTTACTTAAATGTAGTGTTACATGACTCATTTAATTGAGTATATCAAGTGTGATCACTTAGATTTGTGTTAGATAGCATTATTCATTGCCAATTGATGATGTCATATGTTATTGATAATAAACTACGGAATGAAAAAAAAAAAAAGAATTAGATATCATAATACAAAATTAATGCAATAACCTATTTAAAAAATATATATTTGAGGAAAACTTTACAAATAAATTTTTAGAGCTCGAAGGGAGAAAGTTCCATCATTCGATATGAAACTAATATTTTTCTTTTCTTTTCGTGGATTGATTATGAGTTGGTTTCTATTTTGAGAGAACTGCACGTATCTTATCATTCTTAGCCATAATTCTAATTTATTTTTAAAGAGGTAGAGAAGTAAATTAAAACTTGTGGCTAGGGCTGTCCGTGGGTCGATTCGGTTCGGTTCTGAAAATACCCGAACCGACCCAAAACTTTCGGGTATTTAATAAATGGACCCGTCGGGTCCAAATATAATTATGGAACCGTTCGGGTTCGGTTCCTTTCGGGTCGGTTCGATTCCGTTCGATTCCGTACTATGATCAAATTTTTTAATATTTACAGCAACACTACATAAATACAACTAATGACATTCCATTCATAACTTTTACAAATTAACGTAGCCCAATTCAAAAACATATAAATAACTAGCCGTCCAATAAGATTAATTCAGTGTATACAAATACCAAAAAGTAGATATTAATATTACAGCAAAACTACATAAAGTATATTCATTTGCTTCAAATTAAAATGGG